GCCCCACTGCACCTCAGAAATTCTGCTTGTTGGGGGCTTTGAGAAGCTCTTCTGGGGGAGGAGGCCGGGTGTGAGGCTTGCCTTGCGACCCTTCAGCGTGCAAAAGGGAGCAAAATACTCTTGTTCTCTGGACATTGCACGTCACACCTGACTCTGTACCGAATCGTACCCAATTGTTTAAAAGAAACCAAAGGCAGTATTTCTTCATGCAGTGCACAGTTCATCTGTGGAACTCCTGGCCAGAGGATGTTGTGAAGGACCAGGACTTTAACAAGGTTCCAGAAAGAACTAGATAAATTCATGGAAGTTAGGTCCATCAATCCTTATTAGCCAGGATGGGTAGGAATGGTGTCCCTAGCCTGTTTGTCGGAACCAGGAGACAGGAGAAGAATCACTTGGTGATTCCCTGCTCTGTTCACTCCCTCTGGGGCAGCTGGCAGTGGCAGCCAGGACACAGGGCTAGACGGTCTGACCCAGACTGGCTGTTCTTATGTACAATTAAAGGCCCCTCAAGAGCCAAGGGTCAAGGCGTCATTCAGGTTGATTCTCTGTTTGTCAGTGCAAATGCCTTCCCAATGTGAGGAGGCCTGTGGGATAAGTATCGCTCTGTTTTCCAGAGAGCCATTACCCTGAGTCCACCTAATCAGCATCGATTTGGGGGCGCTGCCCCTCCTCCAGTGTGGTGTAATGACCTAGACACATCGTCCACCCACTTGGCTTTCTCCTAGTAGAGGCTTACGGCGGCCGTGGCACTTTGTGTGCTCCGAGAAGTTGGGGTTTCCACGTGCCTCCTTCCGCCCATTGACTGTTGGCTCCCATTTCCCGCCTTCCTGGCCGTGACCGGAAGCAGAGTTTGTGCTCCACTCACTCCATCCAAGCCCTCCTCACCAGCCCGGGTTCAAGAGGGCGCTGCACAAGCAGAGCCGCCCAGAGGATATTCCAGACGGTGCATGGGCGCCCGGGCTAAATGTTCCCAGCGGTTACGCTCCCAGTCCATCCAGAGGGTCGCAGAGGTCTGACGTGCTCAGGATGGTGCAAAGTGGCTGTGGTCTTCTTGCAGCCTGTTGGAAAACCCAGCGCCACCATGTGGGGTCCAGCAGTCATCATCACCACCCTGCAAATCCCCCAGGGGCATGGCCTTCTCGCCAATCTAGCACCTCCCGGATCAGTCTCCGGGAGATGCTGCCCCGAGTGTCCATCCCGTCTCTGTCCAGCCCTGCCAAGCTTCCTGCGCCACCGAAGCTTTTGGCGCTGAGCTTCTGCCATTTGACCAGTGGCAGGAGCCCACGAGAAGTGAACCACCCTCCCCTGTGCCCGTTTCATTTCCAGGCAGGAGAATGTGGTAACTTTGCTTCCACGGATCTTCCGCTGGGCAGCAAGCATGAGGTCACCACGTTCCACCAAGGCCACGGCAGGGCCCCAAACATGGCAGCAGCTGCTGCTACACAAATGTCCGCGTCTTACAAACCTCCTTCAGCACCGTCAGGGACGTCACCCAAGTACTTAACAGTGGCTACCTGCTCGACATCTGGTTGAAATCTGGAGCGGGGGCTGTTCGATGGTATGGCCAGGCACGGAGTTTGAGATGGGAGTCCCCTTTGGAGAGCAGGTGCCGGGCCACCTCCCCCACCGTTCCCAGTGCTTTGCTCGCAGCTGCCAAGTGTTGGTGTTGGTTGCTTGGTGACAGACTCAGGCCCGCCAATGAGGGGAGGGAAAAGGGGGCAGTTGCCCTGGGACCCCGGGCACCTGACCACAACCACTGCTACTGTGGCAGCGACCGGAGCTCCAGCCCCCTTTGGCTCGGAGGATGGGGTGGGTCATGTGCTGTGGTCCGGGTGATGCTGAGGGCTGGCTGTCCCAGCCCCGCCCCTCAGCCTGAGGCCACGCCCCTTTCAGAAGTGCAGAGCAGCCCCCCACACCTTGCCCCGTGGCCCGCGGTGGCTGTCAGCCCCACCGAGCAGACTCTTCCCTTCCTTTCCGGCAGTGCCGCCAACTGGCTAAAGCCCCCGAGGACGGACCCGAGGAGCCCCCCGCCGCGCTACTTCACCCCAGCGTACTGGCACAACAACAGGAGCAAGCTGCTCTGCATGGGGGGCTACGGGTGCCTCAACCTCCTCCTCTTCACCTGGGCTGCCCTGTGGCACGCGCCGCTGGGGGCCTGGGTCATGGTGGCGAAGGGCTGCGGGCAGTGCCTGAACTTCAACTGCACCTTCCTGGGGGTGAGTCCTGCGCCTGGTGGGCATGGCCCAGCCCCCCCTCCCGGTGCTGGGGCAGGACCAAGGAGTGAGGGGCCCAGCGGGCGGAGGGCGGGCCAAGAAAACCGAGACCGTCCCTGTCAGGAGTTGTCCAAGTGGGGCTCAGAAAGCTCCAGTCCTGGGGATTCCAGCGCCTGCCCTGGGGAGGCCCACGCAGCCCTGCCTCTTCTGCCTGAGGCCCCTCCTTGCCTAGGGGCCTGGCGAGTCAGGGGGCCCCACTGGCGTCCATGGAGAACACGTCCTCTTTAGAACAGCCCTCAACGTGTTGGCAGACGGTTCCCAGGTCCCCATGCCCAGCTTGCCCAGCTTTCCTCCGTTGTGCAGGTGCACTCCGCTCTTGATCCATTTCGTTGCTTTCGTCTAGACCGGGGGTTCTCACAGTGTGGTCTGCAACCGTCTTGCAGGGGGGCCGCAGGCTCAGGGCTTGTCCCTCCTGGTAGTGGGGAGCCTACGCTGGCTTCCTGCTGCAAGGTGGGAGGGGGGAGCCTCGCTGGCTGGATCTGGCTCACAGGGCAGGAAACCGCTCTGCCTGCTGCCGTTTTCCTGGACTCCAGCTGGGGGAACAGCAGTACAGGAAACTGCTCGCCTGGAGGCTTTCCCCGCTGCTCCCATTGGCCAGAACCACAGCCAATGGGAGCAGCGGGAGTGGTGGGAGGCACAGATCCAGGTGAGCAGCCCCCCATCCTCCTCATGCCCAGACCCTGCACCCCATATTCCTCACCTACCTCCCTGCCACTGAGACCCCTCACCCTCCCTCCCTCACAACCCCTCCACCCCACTTCTGCGCCCTTCCTCCCACCCAGATTCCCTCCCATTCCTCTATCCTCCCTCCCACCTAGTCCCCACGCTGTCAGCCTGTTCCTGCAGCCTCCTTCCCACCCTGACCACCCACCGTCAGCCTGCACCCTCCCTCCCACCCAGAGCCCCCAACCCTATCCCTTCCTGCGCCCATTTGGTCATCCTGGGTGGCTGGCTGGTAGTCCGCAGAAAGGTCTGCCTTGCACAGGGTGGGCCATGAGCCAAAAAGTTTTTGAGAAGCAATGCCCCAAACGCTCTCCGATTTTCCACACCCTTCCTTGTGTGTGGTGCCCAGAGATGGGTGCAGCTGAGGCCTCGCAAGGGCTCAGTAGAGACGAGAACTGCACGTCTCCTTCCCGTGTCTTACACGCAACGCTCCTCTTAATACATCCCAGAACGAAGCCTTTTTTGCATCTACATCACAGTGCTGACTCCTCCCCAGTGGGTGATCCACTCCCACCCCCCGCTCTGTCCCAGCATGCTACCACCCGGCACCCCGCCTGTGCTCAGGAGCTCTGCGGGAGAGAGGATTCTTGCGGGGATGCATTTTCTCCTGGGACTTGCAGCCATTTCCCTTGGCTTATGCTCAAAAGGGAAACCGTGGGCAGTCACTAAGACCAGTCCTTCGCCCTTCTCAGGGCTGAATTTCACGTGGCTGATTTCAGACCAACTCCCCGATGTGTCAAGGTCTCTTTGAATTCCAATCTTGTCCTCTAAAGTGCTTGCGACCCCTCCCTCGCTCGACATCACCCCCACATTGTATATGCACGCGCTCCCTTCCCTTAGCCAAGTCCCGAGTGAAACTATTGACTAGTGCCAGACTCAGGACCGAGCCCCCGGGACTGTAGTCTCGCTATGCATACAGCACTGCAGTGGGAAGGAGACAGCCTGTCCACATAGCGCCGGAGCAGCATTTCCAGTTTGGGCAGAGCCGTGCTAGCTATCACGGAGCTGCTGTGCTAAACTTAGAGCCTGCGGTACGTAGTCGGTCAGCTGCATGAGTGTCGGGGTAGGTAGCTGCCCCATGTCCGTGCCTAGAGCTGTCCTGCCATCTCTGCAGCTGTGGCCTTGCCACTATTTTAAGCAGGCTAGCTGGACCCAACCCAGCATGGGTTGTCTGGGGATTGCTCTTCTGTAGACATGACCCTAGTCACCACTGAACTCCCTGGGCCACACGGTTCTGGGGGATGGCTGGAAGTGACCGGGCGCCCCAAGGGTCGATTCTGGGGCTGGTTTGGTTCAACATCTTTATGAATGACCTGGAGGAGAGGATGGGTTGAACCCTCGCAAGTTTACGTATGTCATTAAGCTGGGGGAGAGGTAGATACGCTGGAGGGCAGGGATAGGGTCCAGAGTGACCTAGACAGATTAGAGGATTGGTCCAAAAGAAATCTGATGAAGTTTGACAAGGACAAGTGCAGAGTCCTGCCCGTGAGACGGAAGAATCCCAAGCATTGATACAGGCTGGGGACCGACTGGCTAAGCAGCCTAAGCAGCCGTTCTGCAGAAAAGGACCTGGGGGTTCCAGTGGATGAGAAGCTGGAGATGAGTCAACCATGTGCCCTTGTAGCCAAGAAGGCTAATGGCATATTAGGGTGCATTAGGAGGAGCATTGTCAGCACATCTGGAGAAGTGATAATTCCTCTTTATACAGCACTGGTGAGGCCACATCTGGAGTATTGCGTCCAATTCTGGGCCCCCCACTACTGAAAGGATGTGGACGCATTGGAGAGGGCCCAGTGGAAGGCAGCCAAAATGATGAGGGGGCTGGAGCGTGTGACCTATGAGAGGCTGAGGGATTTGGGCTTAGTTAGTCTACAGAAGAGAAGAGTGAGGGGGGATTTGAGAGCAGCCTGCAACTACCAGAAGGGAGGTTCTAAGAAGGATGGAGAGAGGCTGTTCTCAGTGGTGAGAATGAGGAGCAATGGTCTCAAGTTGCAGGGGGGAGGTCTAGGTTGGAGATTAGGAAAAACTCTTTCCTTAAGCGGGTGGGGAAGCGCTGGGATGGGATCCCTAGAGAGGGGGTGGAATCTCCATCCCTAGAGGTTTTGAAGTTCCAGTTTGACACAGCCCTGGCTGGGTTGATTGAGTTGGGGTTGGTCCTGACTTGGGCTGGGGTTTCTATGAAATGGAACACACGGTTGTGTTGCTCACTGGGGAACGTTTCGGAGAATCTGCCTGTTTAAAGTTAAGACGTTACAGAAGGGCAAAAGGGAAGAAGGCCGTGAGCTCGGCGAGAGCAAGGACCAGGACCGTCCTTGCCCCAGAGCCATGCCCCATAGACACCCCTCTGGGCTCCTTTAGCCTTCACTCAATGGGAAGGGGGGGGGGGAGAGCCCAGGTCTGGGACTCAGGAGACCTCAGTTCAAGTCGTGGCTGTGATTCTGGACCAGTCTCTTTACCTCTGGGTCTTAGCGTGCCCCACTGTCCCGTCGGGATGACGTCCCTCACCCATGTTAGCGAAGGGCTTTGGGGCTGGGTGGAGCTCTGGGACTGTGATGCAAGGAGGATCTGGGGGTCCCTTCTGGCCTTCAGCTCTCTGGCTGCCTCCCGAGAGACAGGCCCGTGTAGCAGCAAGGCCTGGTTCTGACTGTCGTCCGGTTCCCCCAGGCGCTCATGCTGCGCCGTTGCCTGACGTGGTTGCGCGCTACCTGGGTGGCGAAAGTTTTCCCGCTGGACCAAAACGTCGTCTTCCACCAGCTCGTGGGGTACGTGGTGGTGGCTCTCTCAGTGGTTCACACGGGAGCACACGTGGTGAACTTTGGTGAGTAGGAAGGCCTCTCCCGGCCCAACCCCCTCGTCCAATAACCGCGCTGATCCCTTCTTTGCAACACACTGTGCTCTTGCACCCGTTTTCCTAACGCTCTCGCTTAATGCGCAAGAGGGGAACCAACCGTTACTACCATGGACAACCCAGCCGCTCCTTAACTATCCAGATCAAGGGCTTAAAAAGCCTAGATTCAAATTGACATTAAATACAGACACGATCACGCGGCATTCCCTGAAGTATGGAATGCACCTTGGAGTGGGCGGGGGGCAAACGGGGGCAAGAGGACCAGCCACCAGGGTGCAAAAGACCCTCGTCATTGTTCTCCAGGGGCTGGGCTTTCATTTCCCAAAACCGTGGCCCTGCAGGTGTAGTGGTTGCAAAATCACCCTTGAGCACGTGACCCAGAGGTAACCCCCGGGGGCTGGTCCACCCCGAAGGGAAGAGGGCCGGAGACAATAGCTCTGCTGGGGGGAACTGCCCTGAGGGGAACTGACGCAGGCCTGAGTGTGCAGAGAGCCTAGAGCAAGAGCTCTGCGGTGCGATTTGCCCCTTTCAGTGAGGACGCCGCGAATACGTCTCTAAATTCCAGCGCTGGTAACTGCACGTCGCAGGGCGTAAGGAAGCAAAGGGAGATTTGCAAAGCTTGCTCCGGCAGGTCCTAAAGTGCAGGGAGCTTCTAAGAACTCCCTGGGAGAGGGTAGGGGGAGTATGGAAGATACGTACCAGGAGTGGCCAGACTTCCTGACCCTCCAAGCTGCATACAATAATCTTCAGAA